CCTGGCGCCTGTTTTGATTCTGTGACTGTGGGAAGCTCTGCCCTCCATCTTCATGTACCTAGGGCCTGCTCAGCCTGAAGGCCAGGTCAGGCGCCCTTTTGTCTCTGGAGCCAGCACGGTCAATCCAACCTCTGGGTCTACACCTCTGCCGGGATCCCTGCAGCTGCTTGATGTGTCTCATCTCCTCTGTTGCCTGAATGCACCCTGCAGGTGTAAAGTGTCTCATGGATTTCTGTCTCCCTCATAGCAGCCTGCTCATTGCACATGGTGAAGGGTTGGTAAATTGGACTGACTCCGCTGCCGTGTGGTGGGCGTGTGAGGGATTTGCTTGGGACGTTCCCTCCTTGCTCTGTGCCTTGCCTGAGGTCCTCTGAACCTACCTTTCCACAGGCCCCTGACCCCTTCCTCCCTGGCGATGGTTCTGTAGGCATCCATAGCCCCACTGTATTTCCTGTCACTCTCCGGCCCCAGGCGTATGCTGGCCTGAAATCGGACCTTCACCACATCCGTGGGCTGGGCACAGGTTACCGCCATGGCCCCCGTTGTGCAGCCGGCCAGAATCCGGATGGCGATGCTGGCATCTGGGAAAAACCAAGAGAGTTTGCCAAAGTCCATGCTAACCGCTGCTGTCCTCCCAGCTGCCCTGCCGTTGCCTACACTCTTCTCCTCCGGGAGGCCCTGCAGTATCCCTGACACCACCAGCCTTCTCCTGGGTGCCATTACCAGCTCCCCACATCCTGGCTTGTGCCTCTGAGTCTAGACTATTGGGGGTCCTGACCCACAAGTAAGCTCTGCCTCCACTGCCCCCTGTGTGTCCTTGGGGTCCCAGGCACTCACGGTCTGCCCCTGCAGGGGTGTAGAACTGCTTGACAGAGTCGTAGAGGCCGATGCGGATGGAGGCAAAGCTCATCTGGCGATGCAGCCCAGCCACCAACCCATTGTAGGGGCTGCGGAGGCCCTCAGTGCGCACCATGGTCAGGATGGTGCCCAGCACGCCGCGGTACTGCACTCTCTGGGCTGCTGGATTCTCTCCTTGGATCTGGGGGACAATCACAGTGGCTGAGGGGCTAGGTGGCTGCAGGAAGGGGCTGTGCACAGGGGCTCTGCTTGGGCTGGACTTGCCTGGCTGGGCCTTGAGAACAAACATGACCATCAAATCACTGTGAGAATAAGTGAGGTTTTTTTTGCAGCATTTAACATTTCTCAAAACAACATTGTACACGCTGTGGTGTTTGATGCTCAGGGCATATCAAATGTGCAGAATTGTTTCCCCGTTTTATAAATGGTTAGTGGTTTTCCCACAGTCACACAGTTAATCCATTACCTTTGTTTCACGCTTTACGGTTTACAAAGCAGGGTGAGGCAGTTAAGAGCCCTGTCACATCCTACCAAGGCATTTAGATTTTCTTTCATCCTGGGCCATGGTGGTGGGGAGGAGGCAAGGAAGGGTCCTAAGCAGTGGAGTGAGTGGTCTCCCCAGGGCTCTGTGTGAGGAAGGGCACACTGGCAGATGGCTTGGGCAGGTGGAGAGAGTGGCCAGCCCCTCCTTTGATGTGAACAATGACCCTTGGCCAAAGGGTGCCTACCTGCAAGCGGACCTTGGCTGTGTCTAGTGGAAATGTGAGGAGATCAGCAAAACAGGCTGCAGTGCCTGCTCCCAGGAACTTCACAGCTATTGTGGGAGGCACTTCTGAAGGCTTCAGTCCAACCATGGTCCCAGCAAGATTGGCCAGTCCCTCCGGGGACCAGCAAGCTCCAAGAGAGGCTACTGGAGGCCCTGGGCTTCAGTGTGGGGAGGAGGCTGCAGAAGATAAGCCAGGGAAGGCAGATGGGCCTGTGCCGTCTGGCCCCGTTCCATGAGCAGGTGCCCACAACACCACAAGGGGCTATATAAAGCGAGCCACCTAGCCATTCCATACACACACTGCCTGAATTTGGCCTGTAGAAACAGGTCACTCTACCCTTCCTCAGGTCTTGCAGTCCTCACCTGTTCCCTCCCCACCAGGGGCAGACAGGGCTGCTGGTGGTGTCATCATGTATGGATGAGGAAACCGAGGCTCAAGCAGGGACCAGGTCTGGTTCTGCTCCACACACACCTTGCTTTCCCCAGTGCCCAGATGCTTCCTGTGGCAGGCTGTCTGTCTGTGAGCCTGGACCCTTGAGGCGCCAAATCAGTCAGATCTTCCTCTGACAATTGCCACAGTATCCTCAGGACTCAGTGAAATTGTCATTCATTTTGGATCAAGACTCCCCACCCCAATGAGGATGCCTGAAGAGACTCTTGTTATAAATAAACAAACAAATCAAATAAAGCAAACAACGCTTCTCAGTTGTTTTGTTTTGTTTTTTCCTTTGACCAAAGCCATTTTCTCCTAACACTGCAGAATTCCTGGAGTGCTATTCTGTCTGAGGTGCTGGGAGGGAGACTGGGCCTGGACACTCTGCTGCTGGTCCCCGGCTGGCTCAGCACCTCATGTGTCCCTTCTCAGCTGAAGAGGATGAGTCTCTCAGACAAGGGAGGGTTGGTCTTGGGTCAAGGGAATGTGCTGTCTTTTGTCCTGCTGGAATCTATACACACTTGAGTACACGCACGTACATACACACACGGTACCGGTCAGTCCCATAAGAGTGTGAAGCAAGAAGAAAATGTGCACACGTTGCCTCCAGGGCAGTAGAATTCCGGGTCTGTGGTCAGGAAACCTGGGCTCTCAGCCTGTCTTCGGGGCTTGCCAAGAGGTGATGTAATCTTAGGTACACATTTAACCTGTCTGGGAAAGTGGGAATCTGTCTTGCTAGTTCCTCGGTATGGAATTTGCATTTTTATTTTTTAAACTTTTAAAATTAAGGTATAAGGCCAGGGATTTAGCTCAGTGGTTCCGCTGCCTGCCTCATAAGCTCAAGGAAGGTCCAGAGTTCGATCCCTGATACCAAAAAGAAATAAATTTTAAAAAATAAAATAAAATTATAACTTATAATGGTGTATGCATTTTAAAGGGCATTAAGCTATAAATTATGCACTGACTCTGGAATGTGAGAGATACTAGAGGAGATTTTCCAAATGGAGACCTAACCTAGCATCCAAGC